GTGTGTGTGTGTGTGTGTGTGTGTGTGTGTGTGAGTGTGAGTGTGTGTAATTGTGTGTGTGTGTGTGTGTGCGTGCGTGTGTGTGTGTATGTATCTATATAAATGGGTAAATGTAAAGAGGATAAACACAGCCCTATATTATATACTTACATTCATGTAGGAGAACTCAGTACCAGTGGTGGCGGATGCACTGGTCACATTGTAGATGTGGTAGCCACGGTCACTCTGTCCATCCTCCGTGTAGAAGAATGGTTGGTGGGTGTCGTCCGTGTACATAACCTGAGACATGAGAGAAGGACACATCACCATTACATGAATTATCACATTATCATAAATTAACTCTTTAAACCCCATCCGCGTCCGGCGGTAATAACCTAGTTCCTCATTGGACGCTGAGCATCCGATACTAGTAACAACATTTTTGTTTCATTTAGTGCTAGTTTTTGCTTGTTTTGCTGAAGTATTCATGAACCAAGTCTTTTAGTAATGACTAAGCATTTGTTTCCGCCATTTAGAAGTGGGAGGCAAGCTTTTGGGGTTATCATGAGACATCAGGTTTAGGTGAATGTAGAAAAAACGCCGGGAAACTGTGGAAAAAACTCAGGGTTTGAAGAGTTAATCCCCCTCAACGACCTCTGTCTCCTTTGCCTACTTTTCCGATACAGTTCACAAATAGCCGACGGATAATCAAACTAAGGAACAAACAAACAAACAAACCCCCTCAATCCCCCTCATCATTCTGTGCCATCTCTCCTCACTCTTCCCTCCACAATTCACACACAGCACAGAGGCAAACAAACAGAGAGGCAAACAGACAAACACTCAGAGGAACAAACAAACAAACAAACAAAACAAAGCAAACAAACCTTCTCAATCCTCCTCAGCAACCTCTGCCTACTCTTTCTCCACTTGTCCCACATCACTCACACACAAAAGACAAACAAACAAACAAACAAACAAAACAAAACAAACAAACCTTCTCAAACCTCCTCAGTAACCTCTGCCTACTCTCTCACCATTTGTAATAATAATAATAATTGCATTTATATAGCGCATATCCATGCTCAAGAGCATGCTCTATGCGCTTTACAACTATTATTACCCCAGCAGACCCTTTGAAAACACTCAGAAACATACTCGGCTTCCGCGGAAGCATACAGTGCAAGCTGCGGATTTCACGCGCTCAAACGCTATCAAACTGACAAGATCGTTCACTGTCTATAGCCGAGTACCCATTTCCACCCGAGTGAAGTGAGGAAAATTTGTGCAAAGTGCCTTTCCCAAGGACACAATGTCGGGCCCCTGACGTGATTCGAACCCACAACCTAGCAGTTGCGAGTCCGAGAGCTTAACCACTAGGCCACCGACGCCACTTGTCCCACATCACTCACACACAAAAGACAAACAATCAATCAAACAAACAAACAAACAAAAAAACAAAACAAACAAACACACCTTCTCAATCCCCTTCAGCTGCCTCTGAATGCCCTCTCCACTCGTTTGAGTTTGAGCAAAGAGAAGCCTATCCACACAATAATGGTCATTTGAGTTTGAGCAAAGAGAAGCCTATCCACACAATAATGGTCATTTGAGTTTGAGCAAAGAGAAGCCTATCAGCACAATAATGGTCATTTGAGCTAGAACAAAGTCAGACGCGCAGACAGAAACAACAGAGGGAAAGTAAAGAAGTAGGACCTACCAGTGGCACCCTCCAACCACCCACACAGACAGACAGAAACAACAGAGGGAAAGTAAAGAAGTAGAACCTACCACTGGCACCCTCCAACCACCCACACAGACAGACAGAAACAACAGAGGGAAAGTAAAGAAGTAGGACCTACCAGTGACACCCTCCAACCACCCACACAGACAAACAGAAACCTCAGAGGGAAAGTAAAGAAGTAGGACCTACCGGTGGCACCCTCCAACCACCCGCTCTATCCGCTCGTTTTAGTTTTAGTAACAGTTTCAGGGCACTTGCAACACTATAAGGTCATATAAGTGCCGAAGATTCGATGTGTTACAAAAAAGCAACAAACATAAAAAAAGAAGGGGAGATCAGGATGACAGGTGTTTGATAAGAAAGAATGAGAAAGCCACACCAGAGCACCCACCAACCACCCACTACATCCACTCACATCCCACCCAACAGACAAACAAACAAAACAAACAAACAAACGCACCTTTTCAATCCCCCTTGGCAACCTCTGCCTCCTCTCTCCACTATTCCTCTACTACTCACACACAACAAACAAACAAACAAACAATCAATCCAACAAACAAAAAACAAACAAACAAACAATCAATCCAATAAACAAAAAAAAACAAACAAACAAACAAACGCACCTTCTCAATCCCCGTCATCAGCCTTTGCCTCCTCTCTCCACTATTCCTGTACTGGTCACACACGCCTGGCACTTTACACTTGGCCTTGAGGGCGTCGTCCAGTCCCAGCGCCACCGAGAACACAGCATTGATCACATAAAGGACGTACGGGTCCTGGACATATTCATCCGCCCGCGGGATGGTGGAGCTCGGGTCGCAAGGCTTGACCGCACCGCCGGCCGCTGCCCCCCAAGAGCAGCCCTGGAGGTGCTCGAAGTACTCCTGGAACCAGGGGTTGGAGCGGTAGTTGTCCGGGGTTTTGTGTTCCAGGTACATGTCGAAGCTGAGAAAACAGAATGATGATGATAACAATAACAATAATAATAATAATAATAATAATAATAATAATAATAATAATAATGGTGATAACAATAGTAACAATAATAACCTTTATAATGATAATAACAATAGCTGAAACAATAAAAACAACCATAGAAATTAAAATAATAATAATAATGCAATTAAGATGATGATGATGATGATGATGATGATGATGATGATGATGATGATGATGATGATGATGATGAGGATGAGGAGGAAGAGGCGGAGGAGGAGGCGGAGGAGGAGGAGGAGGAGGAGGAGGAGGAGGAGGAGGAGGAGGAGAAGAAGAAGAAGAAGAAAAAGAAGAAGAAGAAGAAGAAGAAGAAGAAGAAGAAGAAGAAGAAGAAGAAGAAGAAGAAGAAGAAGAAGAAGAATCTTAAACTTTATTGTCCTGTGTATCAATAACAAAAACAACAACAGGAACAAATACTAATGACAATAATAATTATTATTATTATTATTATTATTATTATTATTATTATTATTATTATTATAATTTTAACCTTTATTGTCTTATATATTAATAACAACAACAATAGCAAGGAGGAGGAGGAGGAGGAGAAGAAGAAGAATTGGAAGAGGAAATGGAAGAGGAAGAAAAAACAGAAGAAAAAGAAGAAAAGAAAATAATAATGAGAATTATAACAATTATGCTAATATTAATAATGCAGATAACAATAATTTCAATAATGATAATAATACAGTTAACTCTTTTTATCTTGGCCCTACCTCCAGGAACACTACCGACACCGCACCCGTCCTGGGGCCGCCTGCCATACAAGTTGGAATTCAGTGTGTATATTTCAAAGTGCTGTATTTCTAACATTTACTCATAGGTTTTAAAGAAATTTGGCAGTTATGTTAAAAATTCAATGTAGTTTTTGTAAATGTATGAGGTTAGGAATTACACCAATTGCACCATGCAGATTTTGAGGTTTATTCTATCCTCTTGACCCTGATTGCCGCGCCCACGACGTCCCCTTGGATTTATAGATCAAGCCCTACCCATCAGAACTGCAGGAATTCCAGTACTGACCCTTTCATCATGATCTGAATCGCTATTAGATAAGTCTAATTCCTTTTCGTTATCATCAACAACAGAATTTATGGCACTTTCATCAAATTAGTCTCATTCCCCCTCTCAACCCAGCGCCACTTCAAGAAGTACTTCGTCGGTTGTGAACGTGCGTTTTCAAGAAATCTTTCAAGCTTCTACACCCATCAAAAACAAAGAAACCGCTGTTCATTGGAAAATTTAAATATTCAGACAGAGCTAGCATCGCCGTATTTGTGTATTTTAGTAATTACAAGCAGAACTAGCTGTTTGACGTGACCGTATAGCTGTTTCCGAGTTTACTCGTAGCCCGGACTGGTCCTCGTTACGAGTATACTCATAGCCCGGATAATAAAGAGTTAATAGTGCCTCTTTGATATTAATTGAACAAAATTCTTTTTAAATATTATCTTCATGATTTGGATTGCATCAATAAAACAAGGTACATACGCTGGAATATCGGCCGTCTCCACGTCAAAAGTGACCAGATTCTTGAACCGCAGAAGAGTTTGGAGAGAACTCATCTTTAGGAAATCTGGGTCAGCACCCCACTTGTCCGTCACTACAAACAGAAAATGACGGGCCACTTCGTCGTTATTGTTGACTGCCTCTAGTATAGGGAGTGGGTTCTTCATCCACAGGACCACAACCTGAAAAGTTGGAAGGAGATTGACGTCAGTTTGTTGGGTTTTTTGGTAAGCTTATTTGTACGTTTGTTTGTATTGAGTAAAGACAAGATTTTCTGCTTTGTTTATAAGTTTTGTGTCTAAAAGTACTAAGTTTTTTATTTGGTTGAGTAAAGACAAGATTTTCTGTTTTGTTGTTTGTATGTTTTGTTTCTGATAAAAGAAACTTCTTTTTGCCCTTTTGTATTACTTGTGTAAAGAGAAGTATTATTCTCTTTTGTTCCTTATTAGACAAGGGAAGATATTTTTTAATTGTTTTTTTCTATTTTGAGCGAAGAGATTTTTTGTTTGATTGCTTGCTTGTTAATTTCGAGTAGAAAGAAAACCATTTTCATCCATTTGATGCAGTCCACCACCTATGAATTAAAGCAAATACAAACAGATAAGACCACTTAGTAAACACACTATAGAACCCACCTCATCCTCAGGGTTGCGTGTGTTGGAAATCCTGTTCACCACGGCCCTGGCTTCCTGTTCGCTGACCATCCCCGACTCACCCACGAGATGTTTGCGACCCACGCAGATCTTGTTGACAAACGCCACCTTTTCAAACTCCTCCAAGCCCGGCTCCCCGATCTCGTCAAACGAGTAGACAACCTGGAGCACAAAAGGAAAAGACACACAGAAAATAGAAATTACAAAGGTGTCTATTTTGCAGCAACCCAAATTTCAAAAGGTTTTTAGCTGGGGCAATATCGTTTTAAAAAGCAAGTCTGCCATGTTTTTGTAACTGCAACATTATGCTTATTTAACACATGTTTTGAGAACCTATAGTGCAAAAATGTATTCACTATAAAATTAATTTTTTGTAACACGTTTTGCCACTAAAAAGTGTCATAAGTGAGCCGAGACATAGGCCATGTGAGTATGCAAAATGTGTGAGAGAAGCTGTGAACAATCCGATATTTTGTATGACAGAGATTTATAGAATTTTATATAAATTTATGAAGAAAGTTTTTTAAACAAGCCTCAATTACTGTGGAACAATATGACTAAGATCAGACAAATTGATACAAACTGCTGTACAAAGTATGAGTGACATTGATTCACCCATTAAAGAGATATTTGAGGGTAAGTTGCACCACAAATTTTTTACTGCACTATAGCAGGAAAGAAAAGTGTACCTGAACATGGGTATAATTGGAGAGAAAAGTGCACCTGAGCAATGGGGTAATTGGAGAGAAAAGTATACCTGAACAATGGGGTAATTGGAGAGAAAAGTGTACCTGAACAATGAGGTAATTGGAGAGAAAAGTATACCTGAACAATGGGGTAATTGGAGAGAAAAGTGTACCTGAACATTGGTATAATTGGAGAGAAAAGTGTACCTGAACATTGGTATAATTGGAGAGAAAAGTGTACCTGAACATTGGTGTAGTTAGAGAGAAAAGTGTACCTGAACAATGGTGTAGTAGGAGAGAAAAGTGTACCTGAATATTGGTGTAGCTGAACTTTTTCAAGTAAGAGACGATGGCTCTGGCCAGCTTGTCATCCGCCGGCACCGAGCGCAGGAAGTATTTGTACTTGTTCCTGTTTAGTAAGTCCATGCCTGTTGCACCGTAGCTGATCTGTCAGGGGTAGGGATAGTGGAAAAAGAGAACTTTGTATGATTAAAAGGCAAAATATATCAAAGAGAATTTTATGCGGGAAATAGAAAGAATGTCATAGACAAAATTATTAGATCTATATGACAAATAGAAAGAATCTAAAAGAATAAATTGTTATACAACAAATAGAAAGGGTGTCAAAGAGGATTTTATATGAGAAATAGAAAGAATGTCAAAGAGGATTTTGTAGGAGAACTAGAAAGGATGTCAAAGAGGATTTTATATGAGAAATAGAAAGGATGTCAAAGAGGATTTTATATGAGAAGCACAAAGTATATGAAAGAAAGAGAAAGAATGTCAAAGACAATTGTTAAATGACAGGTAGAAAGATTGTAAAAGAGGATTTTATTTTAAAAATTAGAAAGAATGTCAAAGAGGATAACCTTAATACTAATTGCATTAACATTGTGCATACCCACGCTATACAGCATGCTCTATACATTTTACCACTGTTATTACCCCAACAGACCCTATGTGGCGTCGGTGGCCTAGTGGTTAGGCTCTCGGACTCGCAACCGTAAGGTCGTGGGTTCGAATCCATTCAGGGACCCGACTTTGTGTCCTTGGGAAAGGCACTTTACACGAATTTTCCTCAATTCACCCAGGTGGGAATGGGTACCCAGCTATAGACAGCGAAAGATCTTGTCAGTTTGTTAGTGTTTGAGCGCTTAATCAGCTGCTTGCACTGTATGCTTCCCAGAAAGCTGAGAATGTATCGGAGTGTTCTATGGTCTTCTGGGGTAATAATATAGTGTAAAGCGCATAGAGCCTGCTGTTGAGCGGGGATATGCGCTATACAAATACTATTTATTATTTATTATTATCTATTTAGAACACAGACGAACCATTATGACTATAGGAACAGCCACAACAAACACAACCAGCCCTACCTGTGGCACAGCTAACTGTGTAAGGACATCAGCCACACGGATAGACGACTCTGTGTCCATGGTAGCCACATACGCGTCGATCCGGCGAGGGTAAACAGTCTCGCCGTCCTTGCTGAGGGTGACGTCGCCACTGTGGATGTTGGCCACCAGGTTCGCGGCTCGCGTCGGAGACTTGCACATGTCGAGGCCAACACCACCGATACGAACACCTTGCAGAATGTCGCTGTTGGGTAAATAGAGGTAGGTGATGATTTTTTTTTAATTTTTTTTTTT